ATCAAACAATCGTATAGACTTTAATGGACATCCGAGACGTCTGAAAACATACCCGATCGATGCCCAATGGCAGCCTGCCACGAACAACTGCCACGAACAAACTGTCATACAAAGCCCTGAAGCTCCAAGCCAAGGAAGACACATTCCCTCCGATTTTGCGGAACTACCGCAACCCTGAGGCCGCCCTCAATCGGGAAGAGCCCCGGCGCCGCAAGGTTTGCAAACCACGAACAGCCCAAATGCAAACGCCTCAAAAATAACACCCCTAAATCCCACCAAAATCAAGCCCTGAAGCCCCAAACCCCAACCCCGAAGCTGAAAGCCCGAAAGCCATTCAAAACGAGAAGCTGTCAAGGTGGAGGGCGCTGGGGCGAGGCCGGTGAAAGCAAGGGCAGGTGCACCTGGGTTCTTGTGAATAAGAGTCCAGAGTCTATGGGTTTAGAGGATGTTGTTCATGGAATCTTGATGGTGACGACCCTTTCCAAGTAATCCCCAGTTGTAAAGCCTCCGCAGCCATCAAAGCCACTTGAGTCGGCCTTGTTTCGGGCTTCAAGACTCAGGATCTAGTGGCTTCGCTGCCGCTTGATCTGAATGTCAGAGTCCAGGCATACCGTGGATCCAAAGTCAAGCTGAAGGTCCTGTCGCCTGTAAGGCCGCTCCTGCTCGTCAGCAACTAGTCGATGTTCCGATACGCCGCAAAGCTTTCTGATTTATGATGTTTAACCTTAAACTGCGTAGGAAGACCTCCGGCACACCTCCGCCGAGGCCCCGGCTGTTCATCATTGCCTCGGAGTTGATGGATTAGGCACAGCACCGAAAGCAGACGATATGGGAGATTCAGATTTATTCGGATTTCAGGGATCCGAAAACGAAAGGAACCTGTCTTCAAGGATACCACCAAAAATAGCAGAACCCGCGGGAAAGGTACGTGGGTTTATAAGATTCGGGTTTGAGCGTGTAATAACATCCAGAAATCCCTCGATAAAGACATGGAGGAGGGGAGTGAATTTTGTCAAAGGGGGTTCGTGGTTGGGCCCTAAAACTTGAACATGAAACGTTACATGGATCCTCATTGCTTAAAACTGCGCACACTAAACCCTGAAACCCGAAACTGTAAATCCGTAATTACTCGACCTTACTTGCCCCTGAAACCCTAGAATAGACACGACCCCGAGCTTTTGGAAAGCTATGCAGGATGTCGTCATATCACTTCTGGTCTAGATGATCTTGTTTGCTTGCACAACTACCTGCCGGATGAAAGGGCACCGAAACCCTAAGTGCTTCACATGGTGCTGCGAGTTTCCTGCGCAGGCTTTCGTCGGCACTTCACTGTCAGGATTTCTGCGGGAAGAACCTTGCAGAACTTCAGAGGGCTCACCGGGCGACCTCATCCGCGCCTGTCGTTGTACTCAACAACCAAACACTCTTTGGGAATCCCAGGACCCCGCCTCGAGGAGTTCGGAAACCTGAATCCCAAAGACCGAAAAGCCTATAGCCAAGTCCCGCAGCTCTAGACCCAGAAAGCACGCTAAGCCCCACTGTGTGGGCAACTTTTCGAAACACTTGTGATCTCGGGGTCACTGGGTGAAAGCAAACACTGCACAAGCCCCACGATGGATAGCCTGATCCCTGCTGAAACGACTCCGAAACCTCACAGAAACCAACTGCGGCAGCTGAGGGCGCCGCCATCATCGAAAGGTCTGGTTGCAGACTATCCACGAAGCAACTGTTGAGCCCGAATCTGGGTCTTGGTTCGTTTCCGTATGATGGGCCGAAGACCTCCCTGCCTCACACACTGAATGCCACTGAGGAATCTTAGCAGCTTAGCATAGAGGCTGGTACAAGGCTCATAATGTGCATTCATTACTTCGAATGAATGCTCGCAGAAGGAACGAACGGCTCAACCCGTCAAAGATCTTTTACGCAGAAAGCATTCAAGGAAGCACAAAACACATGTGTGTAGGTAGAATTATCGATGCCTAGGTGGCTGGATGCGCCTGACAAATGCCACGACAGCACCTAATTTTGCGCCTTAGCCCCTAAACCCCTAGCCTTTGGCATGAGACGGTTTGGTATGGCCTGGTATGGTATGGTACCGCAGGGTCGGGTAGGGTAGGGTCGGGTCGGGTAGTGCCGGGTAAGTAGGGTAGGGTAGGTAATGTCATGTAACGCAATTTTATGTATGTCGAAGAAGTTACAAAATGCAGGTGGCCTACAAACATTATACACGCGTGCATATTCATATGCAGCTGATAGGTACGTCTGGCAACAAACACCGACAAAGATGTGCAATGATGTGCAGTTTGAAACCTAAGCCCTGCCCCCCCAAGACTGTTTCCACGGAGTGGCGAAGTTCGCACGTGCGACAACTGCGGCCGGCCGGGAGTGGATGGGATCCCAGCATGGGAGACCCCTCGAAGAGACTGGGTCAAAGAGGACAACTGAATCTGTGCATGCATGCATACACACACACACATACATACAGATATACATACATAATACATATATACATGTATACATATATACATATATACATATGTACATATGTACATATATATATATATTAATATACATATGTATATATACACACATATGCATATGTGTGCCTGTACAATCTTATTAAACTTATGCTTGCTCCATGTCTCCGACTCACCCGTCGTGTTTAAGTTTCCCATTTCGGGTATGGGCTTAAGTTGCTTGATGGATCTTTCTAGCTCCTCAGGTCGAGCGACACACCCTAATAAAGTAGCTTGATGGTCCAGGGCCTTGCCCTCGGCGTGTTGAAGTTTCATGCCTTGTTTAGAAGGTCATCGTCCTTGGCAGGTACGAGGAACTTCACACACAAGTGCCATGGGAGCAATAAAACTATCTGTGTATTGCAAATACCTGCTTCCTTGCTCACTGTCCACTCTTGTTCTTAGCCTTCTGAGGCTGCTAGCACTACCATGGCCTCCGCAAGACAAACAAAGCACTTTCATTACATGGGCTAGGTGCTGGGTTTCATGCAACTCTGGGAGCTGGGAGAATCGCGAAGCGCTAATTAGTGGGAGTACCGGGTTTGGAGACATGCCATGTAACTCGGAAGCGGCACTCATGAGCCGCCAGAGCTCTGAAACCTACTTCCAGGCTCCCTGCCTTTTCGAATGTGGCTAGATAAAACTGGCTGCTGTGGGCGGAAGCTTTTCAAGAGTCTTAAACGGGTAGGGATCCCCAAAAGGGACCCTACGTCTTCGAGAGGTATCCGGCTTGCCGAGCCCCCAAAAGGGTCGGTTTTCGTTTCCTGAGCAAACGAGGAACGGGAGAGCGAGGGGCGCAGCAGAATTGCCTGGCAGCTCTGAAATCAGTGCAAAAAATCTAGGGTCGTGTAGGTTTTGAGTTTAGAAGGTTCGGGATTTAAGATTAAGGTGTTGACGCCTAGAATTCGGCGTCAAAGGTTTAGGGGTCAATGAACAACCGAACTCACACGCAAACGGCCCAACTGGAATCTAGAATTTCCATCATTTCGCCCTTTATATGTGATCTGCTCGTTTGGTTGGGCCGAATGTAGAGGACTGCTGATTATATGGCCGGTGATGAAAGGCCGAAATGGAAAGGAAAGTGCCTCATCAAGTTTGAAACGAGGCGATAAATTTCGGACGCCGCAAAAAGATGTTCAGGATAGGGGTCTGCAGGGAAAGATATATCATCAAATAAACGATGGATCTACCGCCTATTCACAAGTTCTACAGGGTCTAGCATCTCGGTTAGGATTGTTCAAACTGGGGGGTTTAGGGTACGCAGTGAGCAATCAGTCGTTGAGCTTTCCAAACTCTAAACGTGGACTCCTTAATAGAGCCCTGTTCTGACAACCCTAAGCGGATAGACACTTGATCACAACACTTAAACGGTCGAAGCTGCGGCCTCAAGCATCTCCCAAGGTTTGAACCAAAACTGCAGCTGGACAGCTCTGCTTTGGTCTCGCCGCAGAGCTGTTCAAGAAGCTCCCTGGTCTCTTGGACACGGGAGTGAAACCTTAAAAAAAAGAATCGAGGGTCGGGAATGCAAAGGCATTCTTCGCAACCGCCGTCCCCGCATGGCCCCGCGCCGGATATGTTAAGTGCCTACATCGCACGACGACTATCGATCCCAAGATTCGTTAAATAACCTGATCCAACATCCTAGACCATGAAAGCGATACCCTCAACCTAAGACCGTTCATCATGATACTTTAGCCCTGTCTCGCCTGGCACACAGGGGGCCGCTACGGATCACCCAGGCAATGGCTGCCTCTTGCCTTCGAGAGGGGGTTCCATGCGAGTAGGGACTGGAGATTCAGGCACATCCAGTGACTTCACGTACCCAACATTCCAAGAACTAACACCCACAATCCGCTGAGAGACATAGTACTTAAAGGTTTAAAGTCGGAAGAATGGGACTGGCTTAGCCGGTGCCAAAATCGGGAGGAGGCCGGAAGCGAAGAAGACCTTCTGGTAAAGCAGTGACCGCGACCGACCAGCACGGGCTCTTTGAAGCCCTAAGGCGATGTTAGTATTCTGTGTGTGCAGTCCTTGTCGCTGTTATCACGCTACGTCGTGGAGCTCTTGTTGTCTAACTAACTACTGTAGTTGGTTCATTTATCTTCATTATCAAACAGTCTATTTTCTAGCCCCTCTGAATCGCGGGATGTAGCACGTGAGCTGTGCATAATCTCTGTTTTGCAGGACCCGAGTCGTTGCAAAGAGCTAGGGCAGCTAGGTTCCAAAGGTCAAGCGGTACGTACGAGCTTCCGGTTTCAATAGCTTCTGGATTTGCAAGGGCTTAGAGAACCTTAGGGTCTTGTTGTCGGGATGTCGGGTCTTTGGGCGCAGGGGGCTTGAGAGCTTAAGAATGTTGAGGTTACATCTTCTGCGAAACACTAGATACTGCTTGCGTTCCACGACAGCAACGCCTGTTTTGCCGGACAGAGTCGCAGGCGTAAGGGCAATTCTCCTCTGTGCACAGCCCGACAAAACGGGCTCTCCTCACGGCTGTGCCGGCTCCTGGCTCAGGGATCCGGAGGACATGGCGAAGAGGTGGGTGTAGAGCGGGAAGCTGGCATAGATCAGAGCGATGAAGAAGGTGAAGACGTAGCCCATGTGGATGGCTCTGCTGTGGTACTTCTTGGGGATCTCCAAGGCCGGAGCGGGCACGACCTTCTGCCAGCCCAAGCACATGTGCGTGCTGAAGATGATCACAGCCGCCAAGTAGAAGAGCACCCAGCCCAGGGACTGGAAGATCTCGAACTCCATGCGGTAGATATCCCGCACGTACACCGCCTGGCATCCTGGGGTGTCTACCCAGAAGAGGTTCAGCCTCAGCTGGAGCAGCGTCGCCCTTAGCTGTCGCGTGACATGGGAAAAACAAAGCTTAATTTAAGGTCTGGCGGGTGTACGGGTTGAGGATTGGGTTTAACCACTGAAGAGATCAGAGTGTGCGTCGAGGTGTTTGTGATTTAGGATATTGTGTTTGGGGTTCGTAGCGGCATTAGGGTTCTGAGTGTAGGAATCTGGCATTAGAGTTTCAGGCTTCGTGGACAAGCGGCAAGTTCAGGAGGTATGGCGGCGGGCAGAGCTTCCATGGCTCAGTGTCGCCAAAGCGGAACCTGGGACTTGGGTTTCAGGCGCGGGGTTCAGATTCGAGGCTTTATGACTATGTGATTTTACAGGGCTTAGGCCTTTAGAGGGCCTGAGGTCTACGTTGTGCAAACTCCAACTACCGAAACGTGATGCGCTGTCTAGGCGAACGTCTCTGCGGCGCAAACATGGTCATGTGTAATGAAACGATCTGGACAGGCGTTGGGTGGCCCGTCTGTTCCGTTCCTGTGCGCCTATAATACAAGCCGAACAACGGAAGCGCGGTATTAGGGTAGGTAAGTTCAAGACGGATCGCAGCCATAACTTCCGGAAAACACAAGAACAACGAGTTCAAGAATGTGGCCGGTTCGGGGTCTACATGGCTGCTGCTGGAGCGAAGCTTGGAGTGTCAAGCAGCACAGCAGCACGGCCCGTAAAATCATCCGAAAAGCCTACGAGACCAGGTTGTGTTTTTGAGGGCCTTCGTGATTTCTCCCTGGAGCGTGGAGCCGCGGAGCCTAGAACAAGGCCAGTGGGTCTGGGATAGGACTCCGACTGCGTGAACCGCAAGCAATGACAATTCGGTTGGAGCAATCAAACTTACAGGTTTACGCTTAGGGTCAAGGCTGTTGGGCTGTGGGCTGAAATTGGTCGAAGAGGAGCACCCCAGCATGTTGCGGATTGAGTTTGGGACGTACAGAAAACCAGACTCTATGGATTCCCTCAAACCCACGTGATTCCTAATCGTCCTGGCTGTTTCGGTCCCAGCGGCTGGTACAAGTGGATCATCCTGGGTCCAGGCTGGGGTGACTTGGACAGGGGTAGGCTACAACTTGTTCAGGCTCTGGTTAGTTAGGAACTTCTCCTAAACAAGGCGCCCCAGCCCCCACGATGTGTTTCACGGTTGGGTCTTTTGCTGAAAACTCGGATCTAGGTCACAGTTAGGAGGTCGGCGTGGAACCTGAAGCTCCAGCAAGAGGTTTCAGTGAATAGTGGTGGATTCCAGATTCGGCAGGGTGTGATGGTGGTATTTCAAGAAGCATCAGAGTTCCACATAGTGAAGACGCCTGAATAGCTAGACTAGGGTTTTGCGTGTGCTGTGCAGAGCTTTTCAGGAACTCGACTGATCGGTGTTCCGAACCCTGGAGGTCCCTAGATGGGTCTTGCAGACAATAAGGGCCAAACAGTACACATGGTCTGAATACATACCAGGATCCAGGATCCAGGGGCCGCCCCAAAAAAGGAGCCCTGCGTCTAGGAAGCCGTAAGTCTAGGACTCTAGGATTTCCCCATGACGTAGTTCAAAGTTGCAAAGTTCAGCACAAACACGGCAAAGTCAATACCCTGGCCGAGGCGGTCTCGTGGGGCCCATGCATGGAAACTCTCTCCCATGGCCATGGCACTACAGGAAATACCTCACCCGCATCCGCATCCAGTCCCTCAACCCTTAACCACCAAACCATGGACCCTAAATGTGCCCTGACCGGCCCTAACCTTAACTACCCAAACATCCGGCATCCGAGCATCATGAACGTGAGCAATGTCACGCCGGAGAATGCAAGGTTGAGCTTGCCAGAGGCAACCTCGGCTGAAATGAGGCGTGTAGGCTTTAGGCTTTAGGGGTGTAGCGTTCGGGTTTAGAGTTTCGGGGTTTGGGGATTGGGGTTCAGGGTTTATGGTTTAGGATTTAGCCCCGGGCTTTTGGTGCGAAGGCCGTGGGAATCCCGGGATCGCAGAAGCATGGAATAGCCGAGGGTGGGGATTGCATTTAGCCAATATATGCGATGTCCACGACTTGTATTTACGACCTCGGTCCTAGGACCGAAGTTTTACAGTGCGTGGATATCAAGAATTGCGGTTGTTCATGCCCTGCCAAGGGATGGAAGAGTCCCCAAATGCCTAAGTCTTCAGCGTAGTATGGGGGCCTTTGCCCTCCGCAGCTTCAGGTGCAGAGTAGTTCTGACGTGCTGTCTGGAATGTTGTTCAATTCTGTTTTTGGGCGGAGGGGTGGTGGCTTGGAGTCTTTCGGATTTGAGCGCTTTAAGGGCGTTGGTCTTGGGCTTTCGGATGCTGGGGTTTGATTGAGTTTGGGAGCTTAGCATTTGGAACCCTGGCCCCAAACACCAAACCTGGGCTCGTGTTGAAGAACTCCAGTTCAGTTTACGTGTGCTTGGTGAACAAGTATGAATAAAAGTAAGTGTTCTCACATACAATATGTATGTGTGTATGTAGACAGCTTCAAGTAAACAATGCGCGCTCCTTTTTGTAACAGAAACTCAGTTCCTCAACAAGAACCCAGAAAGCTTCTGCGACGAGGCGAGCTGCAGAGTAGTTCATGCTGATGTCCCAGGTCCTCTTCAAGGCGACGAAGACGTGCAACAGCGCGGCCAGCAGGATGTACTCCTCAGGGCTTCTCGCTTCAGGGGTCTGAGATTTCATTGCTTCTTATTAATTCCGCTCAGCTACAATTGTTGCTACAATAATCGCTTTCATTATTATCCTGTGGTGATTTTCGTGCTGACAGTTTGGCTCTGGAAGTTTGGGGGTTGGCGGATTCTGCTGTCGGGTACGGCTCTCGAAGCGGGGCCCACACGCTTACGGTTCAGCGTTTGCGGCTTGGCCGAATGGCTTTGGCCACACCCCTTGGGGCTCGATTATAACACGCCCACAAAGCCGAACTTCTAAAACTCGCCAAACGGCAACCCCAAATCACTACAACACCTCGAAGCACGCTGGAGCCTCCGACGGCCAAAAACCAACCGGCTCGGCAATTTGGCGCCTCGACGATGTTCGCCTGGAAACCGAAACCAGTCCAGTAGAGACCTCGAAATGATGGTAATGTACGGATTAGGGTTTCGGGTTGGTTGGGTTCAGGGACTACGGGTTCAGCTTTTCCTTTGGATTCAGGGGTTTAGCGGCAGTCTGAATTGCTCTTGGTGAGTGTGTGTTTGTTTTTGCTTCCTTTTACTAAACCGAGTGTCGGAAAGCAGCTTTTACTTGCCACTGTCCATCAAAGCGCTGGAAAATGTAGTCTAGATTCTTGAGGTAATCCAAGATGCTGTCCGTCGACAGTAGGGCGGATCGCTAATGCTAGGGCTCATGCAGAAAAAAGTGCCTTATGTCCGCTCCAACTTGCATATCAATGGCTGCTGTAGGAGGGATTCCAGACTGCTAAACCACCTTAGACACTCAGCCCAATACACTGTGAGCTGTTTTGTAAACCTTTTTGACTCGGTGTGATCTGTGGGTTTGTAGCCGCTAGCCTGAACTACAGAAGGGCACTCTAAGGTTTCAATGTGGGCGTCATGCAGGTTCAGGACGTATATGAAGGATCAGGATACGCAAACCGTTTCCATGCAGTGAAAGGTAGAAGACCACACATGAGTGTACTTTGTTTTGGCTCCGGCCTTCCTTTGAGATTGAGAGCCCTCGGCTTTCAAACCCTAACAACCGAAGCCCCACTACTGAGGCCGAAGCCCCGAAAAGCGAAGCCCTAGCCCAACACCGTGCGACGGAAACGTTGTGAAATGCTCATGAAAACCGATTGAATCCCTTTATGGAGAGGAGGCCAAAACAACCAAACCCCAAACCCTAAACGGCCGAAACACACCCCAAATGCTCAGACCCTGGAGCCCCGAAGAGCTCCGGAGCATCCGGCAAGGCACGCACATAGAAGTAGCCGTAGCCGTTGAAGTCATCTGGGCCTTGTCCCAGAACTCTGTGAGTCCCACACCCGAAACCCCGAATCTTATAAGTCCAGGAGGTATCTGTTTGGGGTCGTCCTGACCTTGTAGCTGGGGCCTCAGACCTAACGTAAGGTTTGGATCAAACGCGCAACTCGAAACCATCCTTTGGAGTCAATGCGAAGGCTTCCTGTAGCCTGCGAAATAGAGTCGTGCTCCGTCCCTCACAGATCCGGGGTCCGAATTACCTGGTAGCTAGATTTTCGGCTTGATCGTCTAAGGTATGGGGTTAAGGATTCAAGTGTTTGGGCGTTTAGGGTAGGGATTTCAGAAGTGAGATTTTGAGGCATCAGCCTTTGGGATGTAGCGGTTTTGGAGTTTCAGCTTAGGGTGTTGGGGCATTGGGGTCTAGGGCTAGAGCTTAAGGCCCCAACCCGCCCAAACAAGGCCCCGCCCTCCCGGGGCCTAGGAACACGTGCAAGTTGCCCACGGCATGGATGATGATGAAGATGAATAGGAACCTCTGTTTCTCGAGGCTTTGCCGCAACCCTGGCTCCTACACTTGCTCAAAAGCCCAAACACAAGCTACCCAATAACCGTTCAATAACCCAAGCCACTGAGGATTTGGAGCGAAATGCCGGATACTCCCAACAGGAAAACAGATCCAAGGTTGTGCTTTCAAATTTCATCAACTTAAGAGTTGTTTGACCTATGTTAAGCCCTGTTTCGTGTGACAGGCGTGGCACTTCCGGTAGGTTCGCCACTGCTACTTTCAATCTACTACTTCCCTTGCAACACGCTCCGTAGGGTCTAGAATCTAGAATCCACAACACCGAAAGAAGAAGCACAGAAACCCTGCATGTTCCAACATTTCTCACAAAGCAAAAAAGCTATGTTCTAACCTCCGAAAATGAGGCACTGATGCACACGAAACCTCGGCATGCGCGGTGCAAACCGAACTGCCCCCCCCGTTGGGTGTTTTAGGTTGGGCTTGGGAGGATGTGGCGATTTTGTTAAAGCATTGCAGGGTCTGTGCTTGAGGACGGGTCAGTGTTTACGGATCCTAGTACTTTGGGTCTGTGTTGGAGTCGCTTCATTCCTGACATTTCATGGATGTGGGTTCAGGTGAGGTCTCAAGCTTCTCTTTACGTGACAAGGATCAAGGTCTAGAGTTGAGGGATTTCGGGGTTTTGGGTTAGGATTTAAGTTTAGTACTGAGGGTTGAGGGGTTTAGGCCCGTTTAGGCTGCGGGTGTAGGGTCGATAGTCCAGGGAGACCTTCGGCATTCACCATCAAGAACCCCCTTCACCGAAGTAGCCCAGTGGCATGGCGGAGCGGGTAAGACCGACACGGTCACCTGTGATGGTCACATTGCTCTGTGGCACAATGGTGAAGAGAATCTCTTTCATGAAGCCCAAGACCTTGGGCTTGGGTTTCGGCTTCAGAGGTGTATCATCTTGATTGCAAGTTTAGGGCTTAGGCTTAAAGTGAGGGGGTGGCGGGGGGAGCCAAAGCTGTTTTACGACTTGAAGGGTTTCGAGCTGTAAGCCTTTATACTTTATACACCCTGGATCCGTGAAGCATAGATCCGATCTCGTCGTGCCTCTAGCCGTCGAGTGAAGAGTTATGTGCAGGTGAAGCCTGCGTGTGACCTTTTCACATTGCGCAGCATTTATCGTGCCCAAAGCCCTGAAGAGTTACGAAACGTCGGCACCGAGTAGTTTCATGGGCGCGTGAAAAGTCAGCTGCAATCGTTGGCATCGGTTTGAACATCCTACCGAGATAGTTGTGCCTAGATCCGCGAAGCGTAAATCCGATCTCGTCGTGCCTGTTTGGGGCTTGGACCTAGGGGGGTTCTTGCAGAACCCCACTTGACCATAAAGATCTACCCCTACGCTCACCTCACTCCGGAACCTGAAGCCCCTCTCTTTCTGAAACCAGGCAGCCATGTAAAAAATAGCGCCAATCCAGCCAGGGATTCTCCCTTCGCCTTGGAAGCTTTTCGGATCCAAGAAAGGAGAGTGTTGGATTTCGGGATGGCGGCTGCCCCATACGTCTAGTCCCAGAGCTTCCAACCTCCTTCCAACAACAAGATCAAAACGAAAGCACACATCTCGTCCGACTTGAACAGACCGCTCAATCCAAAACAGAAAATTCCTAAACATTGGACGTTGAAGCCATTGACAACAACCAGCTGTATGCAAGCAAAAACTAACGTTAGCGGACAGCTCCGGGAACCTTCAAACCGTCCACAAGCCCTGAACCGCTCAAGCCCTGAAACAGCTGCTGAGCAAGGTGCCCTTCATGCGCTGCTCCCGGTTTTTCTCTGCCCTTGACCAGTCCTTCCCCTGTGCATTTAGGGTTTCGGGGATAAACAGCATGGCTCCGGACTTGTAAGTTACGGGTTATAGGGAGGGTTTAGGGTTAGTGTTGTGCGCATGCGGCTTTTGAAACCCCTAAACGACTACGCAGCTGAAGGTATAGTATAGATCCCTTGAAACTCTGAGCTCTCGAAAGCTTGGGGCTTCGACATTTTTCGAATGCCTGGGACTCCGAATCGGTTTGGGATCCTGATTTGGAATTCCTGTGGCTTCATGTCAGGACCGGCGATGACGTCGTTGATGATGCTTTGCATAGCATTCTTGTGGTAGTGGTGGTTGTAGTGGTGGTCGTGGGAGTGACGGTTAGTGGTAGATAGTAGTAGCAGTAGTACTCGTTAGTTTTTATCGGCAGTAGCAGGACCATTTGCTGGAGGGCCTCTCAACCTAGACTCCCGTGGCTTAGTCAAGTTCCGAGGCTTGTAAGGGCTTAGCAACCCTGCCGCTCTGCCTTGTGGCCATCCTTGGCCAGCAAAGGTGCATCCAGTCCGCCGCCAGCGGCAGGTGCGGCAGCCGGTGCACCGGAGCCCACCTGCACTAGGTGACGATAGGATAAAAACTGGCTTTGGGGCTTGGGGCTGAGCATGCCTCAGAACCTCAACCTTAAAAGCTCGCGCCTTAACCGTATGCCAACAGGTGTTTTTCAGACTCTGCAAGAATGAAGCTCTACAACCCTTAACCTTTGCTAAACCCTCAGAGGCCTTACAATACAAGAGTCCGAAAGAAAGTAAAGCAGCAAAACGTTGTCTCCTCACAGGCCACTCTGTGTTGAACTCCGAACGCTCGAAGCGTCGTAGCCCAAGGCCGCCCTGACCCTTTGAGAACATAAGCAGGCCCCAGACATGTTCAAACTTGAGTTCTTCCCGCACTCAAAGATGACTCAATGACCCTGCTTTGGCTCAACACAGACAGGACAACCCAATCGAGGAATAACGGAGAAAAATCCAATAGGCCGTGTACAAACTCGTCAGCCGTCAAGGCGTACGGACGTGAAATTTACATGTGCAACTTGAAGACACGGCCCATAACCTGAAATCCCATGTCTGACTTGCTATCCTCATCCGGGTTCCCGAATTAGTTCTGGACCCCCAAGCCCTTTTGGTCCCTTGGAGGGCCTTGCCGATGATGGAATCGGGGGCATACTTTCCGATCACATCCGGCGGGTGGATCCTTGAATGCTAAAGGCACTGCATTTGGGTTCGGGCCGCTAGCTCTTCTTCAAGAACACGGGCCAAGCAAACTTTACATTCATACAGGCCACACATAGAAACTCAAAACAATCATAGCTCCCATGGCAACATACGTGAGTCTTGCTCGGGTTCAAGTCGTCAACTCAGTCTCTAGAGGCCCTGGACCCGCCGGTCTCCTTCGCACGGGATTTACTGTTGGATTGCTGTCGGTGTGGGGGTATGGGTTTCAGGAATTGTGTTGAGAGCTTCTTAACTTTCACCCTTCGTGCAAGAAGGCGTCATGTTGAACTCCTCCGTGGCGTCCTTCCCTGCGCGGTCTGCTTTCGAACAACCAGAGCTCTGAACCGACACCCCAGTCCTTACGCGTAAGCATTGAAGCCTGTACAAGCTTCGACTCTTTGCTGTCTATATACATATACCGAGACCCTGGCCTGAAAGCAACAACTTCTTCTGAAGTGTCTTGTGAATTTGCCTGCGAGCCCTAGTAGAAGCGTATGCTATGCAAGCAACAACACAAATATTCAAACATAGAACACCAACCTCAACCCATACATCAGAGTGTGAAATTCAAATCCTCAAGCTTGCACCACACATTTGGCACAATGGTATTAGGGTGAAGGCATCCAGCATGGCTTTGCTGCCTCAACCTGCCCAGCTCTCATACAAACATATACTCGACTTAAAGCTTTCGAACTTTCAATACCTAAATGCCCTGAAGCAACCCGCAAACCAAATCATGAACCCTCAATCTTAACTTTAAACCAAAACCCAAGCTCTGCCCTGACCTGTGAATCCGTTGCTTTCTTCGCGATTCGGGCTCGTGTGCATTAGATGCTCTAGATTGGGGGTTTGCCTTGCTCAGAGACTTTCGGGCAATATTCTCAGGAATGCAGTCCCTCGCCGTACTCCTTGGTAAGGTAACAAATCCTATACCTCTAGACACTAAACTTCTCTACCGCAGCCCGGAAAAACCCATATATGACTCATGATGGACTTCTGTTGCAATCATATCAGGAATGACGTTTCAAGCCTAGCATACCGCTGGTAGAAGACATGAACCTTCTCTGAACAAAAACCTAGAGAGACACTGTAAAGACCAGATCAAGACCTTACAGACTCTCATGCGAACCACAAAGCCCGAAGTCCAACCATAGGCCCCAAACTAAATCCTTCACCCTGGCTCCGAAATCTCTCAAACCCCTGAACTCTGAGCCTGCAAATGTGAGGATAGCCAACTCGCCGCCCGGGTGTTCGGAGAGGAATGAAGTGACGTCCAAGACCTGGCGAGCTCCGGGGAGATTCGGAGGGAGAGGGGCCTCGACAAATCCGGGACGTCAAATAACACAGCGACGGGCGAGCGGGGGTGATCAGGTTTTGCCGTTTACTAGAAGGTCCCATCTATTGGGGTGTTTAGCGGGGTGCGTTTAGGATGTTGCTTCTTCGGGGGGGGGGGGTTGAAGGTTGGAGATGTAGGGTTTCGAGACAAGGAGGACATCCTTCACATGAGCCCAGCCAGCGCATCCGTCTCACAAATTCTGGTGCTGACGCCGTTTTCTTGCACTCGCAGATTCGGGCCTCCCAGGTCTGAAAGCTCACGCCTCGGAACCCGAATCCATAAGTAAACCCAGTGCCTGGCCATCCACCACCACCTTAGGCGAGTCGTAGGTTTGTCGTAATAGGGTTTGACCTCATTGAGGATACGTAGCTTATTCTGACGCAGGGGTTCACATGATGATGATGATGATGCTACTATTGATGGTCCTTGCTACTCGCATCTCTTGTCTCTCTGAAACTCCCATATCATGAGCAGACTATCTTGGACTGGATTAAACTGTAACAAAGCACCACCCGCTCTGCATGTAAAAACCCCAGTTAAGCGCCAAGACCTAAACTCCGACATCTACACCTGAAACTCTGAACCTTTAATCCCTAACCCTAAACCCACGAACATTCCCGTCCGTTCCCTGAACCCGGAGCCTCCGTTCAATTCTAGAATTTAGGCTTCGTCATTTTGGGACTCAGGGTCTGAGGTGCAGAGCTTAGAATCAAGGGCTTCGGGGCTAGCGTGGGAACTCAGGTAGTGGCTTATCTGAACGCCACAGCCGGGGAAAGTGTGGTAGTGTGCTACTGACTTCGATCGTCTCCATCCCGACAGACTACGCCCGCAAGCTCTGCTAAGAGCTTCCAGCTTACCCAGGGGACGGAGGATCTTAACACCTCGAACTTAAATTCCCTAAACCCCAAACCCAAACCTTAAAACCCAATGATTGCTGGCGCGGGGCCCTCTGTGCCGCTCCGTGCGTACCCTGGCCCTAAAACGGCTCTTTTATGTGCCCTAGAGGACGACACAACTCTCTAGAATTAGAGTTCAAGCACAGGGGGTGACGCCCCCAACTCCCAAAGTCTGAACTCATTGAATCCTGTAAGCCACAGAAGAGCAAACTCCAGGCTTCTCCGATCCTCTTTGCTTGGCAGCCAGGGCGGTGAGGATAGATGGTCTTGGGATTATCGGTTTCCCCCACCCCTGAAGACTCTGAGGCCGGAAGGTTTCTCAGCATTCGGCCCAGCAGTCTGTTTTGCTGTTGTGCTTGGCGACTTCCTCCCCGATGGCAGCATTGAGTCACGGGTTCAGACATACTCTCAGGCTTGAGTAGCTTGCGGACTGTATGCCTTGAAGGCGTTGGGTTTCCGAAACTTTAGGGCTGACGATAGAACGAAACAGGCGTCGAGGATCTGATAGTGTGACAACAAATGCTGAACACACCCTAGCAATGACGACACTTTGGCTGGCGTATGCCTCGTTATAACAAGCCCCCTGGCCCAGGCACGTCCGAATCCGGCCATTCAGAGCTGCAGTGCATACGCTCTCAGCAAAATCTAAGAAAGTCTGCAGCCCCTAGACCTTCTTTGAGCCCTCTCCTCCAAGGTGATGCCACCGCCGCCGCCGCCGCCGCCTTTGCGACAAGACGTCTTCTGGAAAGGGGACCGACTTAAAGTCCTGCTTGCTCGGGTAGCTTGCGCAAGGCTGACGAATTGCTGTGCAGTTTCCCCATTGCGGTGTGGACCAAGTCTCATCACACCTAAATGAAAATTCTGCGAGGACCCTGATAGCAGGATCCCTATTCCAAACCATGTTCATAATCAAGGGTGTGCTTTCATTCGTCAGTAACGGAACCACCACCAAAACCTTGTCCTCATAAACCCTGACAAAGAATCTTTGGCATCAGCCTCCCAATTGTCGGAAAAGGTGTTGAGTCCTGACGGCTCATGCACGAACACTAAATCAGAGCTGCCCACACCTCCAGCCCTAAACACAAATCCTCGTTTTGCTAAGGGGTTCTATGTTTAATTACCCCCCACCCCCCCAACCCCGCCTTCAAGGCCCAAACCCGGAAAACTGAACTCCGTGCCTCCTGCGGCCGCCACGGCTCTGCCGCCACCTCCTCCGCCACCGATCATGCCGATTACCGAGTCGGGAGCGTACTTGCCGATGACGTCAGGCGGGTGGATCCTTAGGCTCCCTTCGGGATGTGGAGGCTTTATTCAACAGCAGCAGTACAATAACTAGAACCGTAATGTTCACGATAACATGACTTTGACTCAGAAGAAAATGAACACGTAGCAACTCAACCTGTGTGATATCATAGTCACAACGAGAATGGTACCACTAAGTTCGTAAACGTCGTCGTCGTATTCGCAGGCGTCGTCGTGATCGTCGTCTTTGTGGGCGTAGTCGTCGTAGCCGTCGTAGGTTGTCGTAGTCGTAGTTGTAGCCGTAGTCGCAGTCGAGTAGCAGTAGTAGGAGTAGCAACAGCAGCGGTGGCAGCAGTACCAGCAGCAGTACCAGCAGCAGCAGCACGAGCAGCAGAAGCAGTAGCACACCCTGGCTCTCATCCGTAGAGGTGGTGGGTATAGCAGTGGTAGTAGTTGTTTGTAGTAGTAGTCGTCGTCATCGTCGTCGTAGTAGCAGGCAACAATTATTAAATATGAGCAATGCTAACAATGCTAGCAATGGCAATGACAATGGTCATGGTAGCGAGAAAAGTTTTCGATGTGTAGTATGTATGTGTATAGAAACATATACACAAACAGAGACACACTTATGCGAGGTTAGGGCTGCATGTCGACTTGGTTCTTGCTGTGATCGGCAAAATATCAGTCTTAGCGGCTCTAATGACACAGCACGGCACCAGCAAATGGAAAGCAATGACTTGATTGATAAATACATACTCATGCATCATACGTATATATATATATATGTACATATACATATACATATACATACACATACACATACACATACACATACACATACACATACAGATACAGATACAGATTCAGATACATATACATATACATATACATACACATGCATGTATATACACGGAGAGAGCGAGCGAGCGCTTTCGGATCCTAAAGACATGCGAACGATCTTTACACTGACCCCAGCATCAGGCCTCAAGGCCAAGAAGCTCGACGTTGCGGGGCAAAGCTTGGAAGGGCTCTTGGCACTGCGGGGTAGAAATGTGGGGCGTGTGGATCTTAGCCTCTCAGCTGGAGGTGAAGAGACGACCTAGATTCGGTTATTGTAGAAGCCAAGCGTCATGTTGAACTCCTCCGTGGCATCCTTTCCTGCGAAGGTGAGGATAGCCAGCTCGCCACCGGGGTGCTCCGA